AGAAGGTTCAAGGTTCTTTATTATTTGTCACATGCATAGTTATACAAGTATAACACACAGTGAAATGTAACCTGACACGCTCCTCGACATGTGCAAAAATTGGGGGGGGGGGGGTGTAGAGGAAGAACATTATATATATATATATATCCAGATGTATGTTATGTGCTCGGTGAGAAATTGAAACTGTGTGCATGCAATAAGCAGGTTGGAGGTTTCTCACCTGACTTTAGCTGTTTTATTTCCAACAGACTGATGCTTAAATAAAATAAGAATAAGTGCTGAACATGAATTCATTATTAAACATCACTGAAACTCTATGCAGCCTTACTGACAATGTGTCCATAATTCACAAATATTATGGATGACATTCATTTATCATGAAATGTTGTTCACAGTCACCAAGAACACACAAAGTTATTCTTTACTATGAGCTGTACATTTTTAATTTACATGCAGCTAAAATGTGAATTTGCAAATGAATTCTATCATCAGGACATTTTTACTGTTTAAACATGCTAACAAGCAGAGTTTGGTGCTGTGATCTTTGGTTTAAAACATGAAATTTAGTCATTTACAGTGCAAAACCATTTTTCTCACCTTCTACCAATCTTAAGGCTTTCATAAAGAGTTCTGCTGCGGGCCTCTCATTGCTGTGTGTAGAAATAGCATATGATGATATAAAGCCATGTTTTGACATTTAAATCCGTAATTTGTCTGATTATGTCACGATTAACACAGATGATCTTTTTGTTTTCTCGTAGCTGAGCTGGTGAGTCCTGTCAGCGTACGCCAGATGTTCATTTCTAACCTGAGGAACCGTCCTTTGAGCCCCAGCCAGGTGGACTCTATGAAAAATCTGGTCCTCTCATTAAACCACAACCTGGTTACGGGGACGAAGGCGTTTCCTTATATTGCCTTCAGGGGATTCTTTAACAAACTGCTGCTGACGACACCTTTCACCCATGTGCCAGAGAGTCAGTTGGAGAACACCACTCCATCTCCTCCTACCAACTCACCAGCTGGTTTAATGGTGCCGTCTGCAGGGTCCCACCTCCATTCACGGTTCCTCACACCTCTGCTTCCAGAGAAGGCAGATCTTTCTGTCCTGAAGGCAGATCAGAGGAATTGCGTCTGCACCCTGGATGTCGACGGCGACACCATCACCAGAGTCATTTCCACTGTGTATTGCACAGAGGAAAGGGAAATGACAAATCGATGGAGAGTTACGGACTACACCTCTGACGGCAGAGTAATCATGTCGGTGCTCTGCCAGTTTCTGAAGAGGTTTACACAGGGTGCAAAGAGGAAGCCTGCAGAGGAGGAGAGCAGCAGCAGGAGCCCCACTCCACCAAGGAAACGTCTCCGGCTGTGATCAGTAATGAAGCCTTTCCTGGACATATGGAACATGGATGTTACATATGGATGTTTCCTCGTGCTTTGGAGCAAACTTTCTAACTCCTCATGTCTGCGCTGTGTCTGGAAAGGCTGGAAACACCTCTCCATCTTACACAGAGACCATCATGATGCGGCTAGTCTGAGGAGTTATTTCTGTACATATGTATATAGTTTTTTTTATTATTAAGATACACAGGTCAGCGTTTTCAGTGCGTCTTGCACTTTTCTTTATTTCTTGGTGCTGGCCTGTGTGTTTGATATGACTGCAAGGAATACAAGACTGACTTTATTATATAATCTGCGTAAAATGAACCAATAATCCATGAAGACAGTGCAAAGTGTAAATTATCATCTTCTGCATCTCAGACATTGGCGAGAATGAACAATGTGGTAAGTAAAAAGTAATGTTCTGTCTCTAAAATGATGTCCCAAAATACTAGAAAACATCTAGTCCAGCCTAGAAGTAATAAATGCATGAAGTAGTTTTTCAGCGTCACTCTGAGACAGGATATTTCTTATTTCAGAGATATTACACAAAGATTGGAATAGGAAGAAATCAGTTCTAGATATTTGTTTAATATGTGTGTTGAAGGACATGTCCTGGTCAATAATGACTCCAAGGTTCCTCACAGTGTTACTGGAGGCCAAGGTAATGCCATCCAGAGTAAGAATCTGGTTAGATACCATATTTCTAAGATTTTCAGGGCCGAGTACAATAACCTCAGTTTGATCTGAATTTAGAAGCAGAAAATTAGAGGCCATCCAGGTCTTTATGTCTTTAAGACATTTCTGCAGTTTAACTAATTGGTGTGTGTTATCTGGCTTCATGGATAAATAAAGTTGGGTGTCCTCTGCATAGCAGTGAAAATGTATGCTATGCCTTCTGATGATACTGCATTTAAATTGTAAACAGAATTGGTCCTAGCACATCCATAATTAACCTTAGATAAATATGATACAAACCACTGCAGAAATCAATACCTACAGGATGCTCTAATTGCTTTAATAAAATATTACGGTCAAAAGTTTTGAACGTTGCACTGAGGCCATGAGAAGATGATGTGTAACCTTCACTAAAGCTGTTTCTGTGCTGTGATGAGCTCTAAAATCTGACTGAAACTGTTCAAATAAGCCATTCCTCTGAAAATTATCTGTTAGCTTTTTAAGTGTCAAAGACTCGGTGCTGTTTCCTGCAGTATATTGCAAGTAAACCTGACAAGTTTGGGATCAAGTTTTGGGTGGCTTGCGACCTAAAATCCAAGTACATTTGCAATGTCTTCCCATATCTTGGCAAGGACCCCAATCGTCCCACTGGGGAGAGACTTTCTGAAAATGTCGTAATGAGGCTGATGGAACCATTCCTAGACAAGGGCAGAAATGTTACCACGGACAATTTTTTCACATCGCTTTCACTGGCACAAAAACTTCTTAGACGGAAAACCACCATCCTCGGCACAGTCAACAGGATTCGCAGGGAAATTCCTCAATCCACTAGACAGACAGATCGCAATGAATTCACCACTCAGGTATGTTGCAGGTCTTTTGTGGTTCTATGTTTATGTGTTTCATTGTGTGTAAAAGGGCTATGGAAATAACAATTTATCTTATTTCTTAGGTGTTTTCAACCTCTGCTGCCACGCTGACGGCGTATGCGGCCAAACGGAAGAAGACAGTCTATATTCTTAGCAGCATGCACAGCGTGGTTCAGACTGATAACACCACCAAAAGGAAGCCAAACACTGTCACCCTTTACAACAAAACAAAGTGTGGCGTGGATGTGATGGACCAGATGGTTCGGGAGTACACTGTCCGCAAAGGAACACGGCGCTGGCCAGTCGCCGTGTTTTATAACATGATTGACATGGCAGCACTGAATGCACATGTGCTGTATCAAGCATGCACCGGGACGAAGGAAAGACGGGTGGACTTCCTGGTGGCGCTTGCAACAGAGTTGGCTCGCTCTCATGTAGCTGGGAAGAAGGCAAGAAAAGAACAGTTGCTTCGGGCACAACCCTCCACACCTAGCCCTGGGAAAAGAGCCACGTGTCAGGTCAAACACAAATGCAAGAGAAATCAGGCCACTGAGCGATGTGTTCGCTGCTACAGATACACATGTGGTAAATGCAGACTACAGATACCATGGCAGTGCCAGGATTGTGAGTGATTGCTGAAAATGTTGAATTGTTTGTACTCACTCACTTTTTATTATTATTTGTAAATATGTGTACAAATGGTTGGTTTTTTGTACTGTTTTTATCAATAAATCTCAGCAACAAAGGACATACACCCATGTGTGTTGATTTCTCCCTAAGATGGCAAACTGAAACACTCCAAGTTGGTGACTTTTGGAGATTTATTTCCCTGGATGATTGAGAATGCATCAAGATGAAACACAAAAGGAAGTTCACAGCTTTTAGCAGCTCCCCCACCCCCTCAATCACACACCCCCACTCCCCTCCCTCCAGAATTCCCAGGTAACAACCTAATATACATATGAATGACTAGCCAATTTAGCTTCCACTTGTGAAGCTAAAGCTTACTAAATAAGCCATTCCTCTGAAAATTATCTGTTAGCTTTTTAAAAATTATTTTTTCAAGAATTTTTGAGATAAAAGGAAGGTTGGTGATTCGCCTCTAACTAGGTAGGACAGCAGGGTCAAGAGATGGCTTTTTAAATCAGTGTTTGGGTTTTTTTGTGTGTCTATGTACAGAACAGAAGTCTGAACAGACCAACGACCTGCCAGAGAAATCCTCCTCCAAGCGCTCTGCCTCTCCATCCGTGGAGCTGCAGCTCAACGCTGGCCGGCTGCAGCTTGACGGTCTTCCTCCGGGGGACGGAGCTGCAGGCCCTGGTCTACGAGTGGCCCAGGTACGACTATTGGACCGCAGAACCAGCAGCAGGCCAAGCAGCCGACCTGGGACTCCAAATTCCAACACTTCATCCACCCCAACCCCCTCAGAGGAGCAGAACGATGGAGAGGAGGAGGCAGCAGAGCCTGAGGATGAAGTTCAGGGTGCAGAGCTCGAGAGTTGTACAGTTTCTGCTCCGACCCTGCGACTCCTCAAGAGACTCTTTCAGCTCCTAATAGCGGCTGCTATGGAGAGAAACCCCACTCAGTTTCAGCTGGATTCAGGATGTCATCGCTCTCCAGTGCAGTATCATGCGACACCTATCCATCAAACAGAAGGCCTCATCAACAGAGTGGCACTTTGAGAAGCAAATACACAATCAAGTGGAACATCAGGGGACATGAAAAAGGCTGAGCTACAAAACAGACTGAAGGCTGGGAGAACGGCATCAGCTTCTGCCTCTGGACTGGTGACCCACATAGGAACAGAAATGATTAAGAAGGAACCCGAGAGCACTGTAAATGCATGTGCCCAACAGAACTGCCCCACTGCCCCCACGATATGGCCCCACAGTGGCCAACAGAACCACAGGAGCCAGACAGAGCCCCAGGAGGAGTGTGTGAGCACCGATGAAAAGCCCTCCTTCTCAATCACCAGCAGTTCCTTCACAGATGCACCATCTAGAGGCAGCCAGGAGCACGACACAGTAAAGTTTGGATCAGCACTACTCCAGGTACACATCAGAAATGTCAAAGCTGCAGTCTTAATGTATCACTTTATACAGCTAATAATAATAATAAATAATAATGATAATAATAATAATTTATTCTAATAATACTTTAAAGTGTAAGAGATAATGTACAGTAGCTATAGTGATTACGAGGGCCCCACCCTGGAGCCAGGCCTGGGGAGGAGCTCAAGGGAGTCTAACCAGAGACTGTGTTTTAGCCCATGCAGTCTGGCTGTGTACAGGCTAAAGAGATGACATAGGCCCACCCCCCATGTGCTCACCACTTGGAGGAGGTGTTGTGGGGGTTTTGTGCAGTGTGTGTCGGTTGGCAGCCTTTATGTACATGGGATGATCATTTTGTTTTGGTATTGAGAATTGCATAATTCTATTGTATTAGTACTGACTAGTAAATTTCTGGGATGGTGGCAGATGACCGAAGTGTGAATCCATTGTCACTGCTATGGTACAATAGTATTACAGTGCAATATTAGTGACACAGCACGAGTTAAATCTAAGCACAAAAACAGCCTTTAGTGTTTTCTCTGGAAATTTAAGTACAAGTAAAAACATAACACTGTAGTTTAACAGTAATTAAAGTAAACTAAACTTGTAATTCTAAAGTCATCATACAGGCTTGTTCTTTCTGCCTGTAGTACTAGCCAGGGCTGCAACTATTCTTTGAGTAATTTGATTACAAGAAATACTCCTGCTGCTTCATTTAATGCATGACTCTTTAGAGCTTGTCACGTAGAGCTTGTTAACTTAACACTGATGTCAGATCAGTTTCTTTCACCAGCAGATGCAAAATTATCAGAGTGGATGGTGTTTGGTCAGTGAATTATTTATTTAGTTTACTAAGAGTAAGACAAAAAACAGCATTTTTATTTGGTACGGACTGCTCAGGTGGGAAGCTGACTTGGTATCTGACATCTCTTTACGTTTACTTGCCACAGACTGGACAGAGCAGTGTCAGGTGACAACATACATGTTAGTATGTCTCAAAGTGGACAGTAAATCATGGGCGGACTATTGACAGATTTTACAAACCAAAATAACTGACATGGGCAAGACCGTATCGATCAGAGGTTCTGAGTTTTGATTCATTTTCGATGTGATAGGAGAGAGGTCCAGATAAACGACTGGCATTAACTGGGAAAAAAGTGGACATTGGTGTGGTCAGAAATTACTTCTGATATCAGTGCTTCTGTCAGTTTGCTGTAACTCTTCATGCAGTAGACACACCAGTAAGATGTGCTGTTGATTTTTATTGGGATCCTTGACTCCCAAAAACCCAAACACATGATAGTTAAAGGAGATGAAATAATGTTGCAACAAGTTCTCGTGACTCTTTGAAGTGTGTTAAATGAAGTCTTTTTGTAGAATTTTTGCAAGTGTATCACTTTGTGCATCAACCAGTTGGAGTGACTTTTTAGACACTCAAACACTTACACAGCTGGGCCGTCATATTCAATGTCAGTTTGTCTCTTTTTTCCTCTCCTGTCCCTCAGACATAAAGGCTGCTCCTGCACTGACGGACTCACTGCTGCCCAACACACTGCCCTCCATCACCAACCTGTCCAGCTGCATGAAGGATGGAAAAGAGGAGGATGGGGGTGAGTTTGTCACTCTGTGGCCACATGTGGCAGTTTAAGAGCCTTCGTATTGCTGTGTTCTGCTATGAAGCACACGAAGATGTAATTAGCTTTTAGCGGTTGTGTGTGTTTGTGTGTGTGCATGGATCGAGCTGGACAAACTGGATGCAGAGATGATCAAGCTCTTGGCCCATCAGAGGATCCAGCAGCTCTTTGCTCCCAAAGTGCCCAGCACCCACCCTCCCCCCACCACCAGCACTACCCCAAAAACCTCAGCACCCCACCCAAACAGTAAGACACCTTTGCACTACAGTTTAGTCTGTTTACTTGTCAAGAAGTCCGTTTTTCTGCTGTTTGATTGCTGTTTTGTTCTAATTATTAAAACCTACACTCTCCTCCTCCCAGGTCAGAAAAAGGTGCAAGCCAGAGCGGTCTTTTACCCTCTGACAGGAAGAGGAGCAGCTGTCAGCATGTGCTATAGGACGTTACACATAGGATCAGGTAGGACATTCAGTCGCTGTGACTTTGACCCTGCTGCATTCTGTGCCCTGGCTCTGAGCCACTCTTAGGTTTCACCTGTGATGGGGAAAGGTTCACGTAGGAGAACAGCATTAAAGCTGGTCTCACGTAGTTTTTTGAAATTATACCAGTTCACCAAACTCAAGTTAATCATGTTTGATTTAGGTTATATTCTTGCCTTGTGACTAAAGTTTAGTAAGACCGAAGTAGAACATAGGTAGGGCCCCATCATACCTGCTGTGTGGTGCCTGGCAAATGTCACCGTACAGCAAAGTTGATGTTACATGTTGTAAGCTGTCATCTCTGCTGGTCATGCACTTCTCCATTTTTATAATCTGGTGTGTTGTTGCATTGCTGCTGCAGCTGGGTTAAAGTCTGTTTTTAATGGCATCCTAACATCATATCAGTACAGAAGTTTAGAGGTTCACAGGTTTCACAGAGGGAGATGTTGAAACTTTGAAACTTGGCAAAAACTTTAAAATTCCTCGGCTTCCAACTTTGACTTCTTCTCCTTCTCTACCAGCGCTGATTTGGAGGACGGGCAACACCTATTGTTCAGAAGAATACTGCAGCACGTACATGCACCGTAACAGCTAGCATGAATGGATATAGCTGTGTGATGGTATTACTGGTGACACGCAAAGCTGCCAACACAGCAGGTATACCACGGCCCCTGGTTTGGTGTCTTGGCTCTGAGCTAATCACTCCTACAGATATAAAACTGGGAAGTGATGCAGAAGCAGTGTGTGGAAAAACTAACAACACCCCATCATTCATCAGCTTGCAGAACCACCAGACAGATTTGCTGACGTGCTTGGAGTCATTGCACTGCCTGATCCTTGGTGACTGTTTTTGGACTTTAACTCCTGGGAATATTTTGCAGCTGTCTTGCATGTTTTCCACTTGAATAGTGAATAATCTTTCTCATGGTAGAATTATGAGCGTGTTTGGGACTGGCTTCATGCAACTTCAGATACTGACATGCAGCACTCATTTATTCTTTAAGACATCTTTCCTCTTTGGCATTATGTCGACACACACCAGAATGCTTCTGAGTTTATAGAGGTGGTCACTCGTGCTGATAATCAGTTAATCATTTGTGTTTGATTAGCAGTATGTACCTGCTACTTGCCATCTTTATTTCTATGGAAGCAACAAGGGTTTGCTTAGTGTTTCATCCACTAATTCTGCATTTTGGCTTAGTTTTGTCAAATACATGACAGTGTAATGTCATATTTTATAGTTCATCTGAGGTTATATATCAAGACTTAATTTCAAGACCTGCTAAAAACAAGATGATTTTTATTTTGTCCTAATATGTAAACCTTGACAGAAGGTATCCTTTTAACCATGACTGTACTTCTGTACGACAGGCAGCAGTACACGACAGAGTATAATATAATAATATACTGAGCCTGTACTAGCTCCCAGTCTCTGCATCATTAGTCAGGTTGAGTGATAGTTGTCTGTGAAAGTAAGTTCTTAGACCTGTGAGGGTCACAACAGGACCATGTGGAATAAAAATTACTGAACAAAAACACAATATGTCACATTGGAGTGCAGGTCATTAAAATACATTTTGACACGTCAATATTGCAGAAGAAAATCCATGTTGCAAATCTGTATTCTTTGTGTTGTGGGAAAGGGTGTTTAAGTCTTTAACTGTTTCTTTAAGGCTCTGACATGGATGTGTGCCTTACAAACTACGGTCACTGCAACTACGTATCGGGGAAACATGCCTGTATTTTCTATGATGAGGTGAGGCCTTTAAACTACATCACTCTGCAGAGCACTCCTGTGGTTGTTAGTGACCAAGATGTAAATTGTGTGTGTGTGTGTGTTTGTCGTCCTTCAGAACATTATGAGCATTATGAGCTTCTGAACTATAGCGAGCATGGCACCACAGTGGATAATGTCCTGTACTCGCGCGATTTCTCTGAGAAGACCTCACCATGTCCACCCGGTGGCCTGGTAGCCAAAGTCCAAGGAATCATTCGTAAGTACATCTCCTTCATCTGTTTGGATTGGCTTGAAGGAACCCAGGTCTGTGTGCCCAGTTTGACTTGGACTGCTGATGAGGTCGTCACTCATAGATTTTGTATGAACCTTTTATGAATATCCATC